TCTCGTTTCCGACCCATCTCCCAGGTCTCCATGTTCCCCACTTACCTGTGGGCTTTGCTCACCTGTCCCCGTCGAACCTAGTTTAAAGCCCTCCTCACTAGGTTAGCCAGTCTGCAATCCTCTTTATTTATAAAGAACATACAAAGTCCTGCTTCTTCAAACACAGGAGGAATAAAAAAACATGGGAGAGTGTTCTTGCTCAGAGCTCCAAATGTTCAGCCAGCTTGTTTAGGCTGTGTGCGCCTAGCTTTCTTTCTGCTTCTCCACGCCCTGGGGTCATTCCGTTTGTGGTGTGTGTGTGTGTGTCTCTCTCTCTCACACACACAGGCTCCCTTACCCAAAGACAATGCCCAGCAGAGCTCTCTGACTACATAGCTCAAATTCTTGCCTGCCACTGTGGTTTAGAACAGTGGTTCTGAACCTGTTTGTAAACCTTGATGGCCTCTTGCGACTCAGTAAATAGCTAACTAATTGACATTCCCCAACTCCTGTGCCACAGGGCTGGCTGGGCATGGCTCCCCGCTCCAGGTGTTGTGACCGGGTACATGGGGTTGCAGTGCCACACAAGCAAATTTTGGCCCAGCCAGCCCCTCCATTATCATGACGTGGAGGTAACTGGACCAAACTTGTGTGATGTTGTGTCCCTCCATTAGGATGAGATAGGAGCCACCACTGCAGGCTGAGTGCGGGGCAGGCTTTGCAACCCTCCCCTCCCCAGGGAGAATCCTGCCTCCCCTCCCCAGGCCTCCTGCATCACCCTTTGGCACATTTTGGTGACCCAAGTAGGGGCTGCACTCCATGCACTGAGAAACCCTGTTTAAACTGCTATTCTTTCTTATGTTTAACCTAAATGAAGGGCAGCTGCTACACTCATCAGCTGAAGGGTCTTTAAGCTGACCTATAACAGTATGAATCGTTATATCCTGTTTTCAGTTCCATACTGAGGAATTCACGTCCAAGAAGATCAGTTACATTTTAGTCTTTTTAAATGGGAGTCAGGGCTTATGTAATAGGCCTGATGACAATGGTGCGGATATAAATGATGAGATGAGATAACATTTTTATTTTATGGTACAAATCTCAGTTATAATGTCGGGAGATAAGATGCCCTTGGCTCAGTGAAAGCCATTCTGTTACAGTATATTTCTATTTTGAAATTCCTGCTCTGACCAGGACTGAGGAACTGCAAGGAGCTGTTAGCCAAAGGGAATATTCTGAGCGGCTGGTACACCATCTATCCCAAAGGCTGCACTGCCATGCGTGTGCTGTGTGACATGGACACAGATGGTGGAGGCTGGATTGTAAGTAAGAATTGAGGATAATGATGCTCGTCAGACAGCTTCATGTCTCAAAATGGGAGTCAACTCTTTCCAAGAGTGTTTGTTTTATATAGGTAAATAAAAGCAAGTGTATCCATAGAACATAGTGTCAGAGTGAAAGTAAAATGTAATCCAACTACTATCTGATAGCTAATTCTGACATGAAAGCAAGACAGAATTCACTATTGCAGAGGTTAGCAACATGCATATGTCCCATTGTTCACTCTATCCCCTTGCAAATCACTATATTTGCGGGTATTTGGTAGGCCTACCTGATGCTCCGTTTTTGCAGCGCCTTCTCTCCGCACTGCCCTCTCAGGGTTCCGTTAATGGCACCTGTTGATCACAGGCAAAACTAAATGCAAGCAAATGATCAATGTAGTTGGTGTTGATTTTAATTTTGCTGAAAGCCTTTCAGTTAAGTTTCCTTTTTATAGAACAACTGATGTAAGATGCTAACATTTATGGGTAAATTCTCAGTTCTGGGCATGAGGCATTTAGACGCATCATTCCTATTAACAGCACACATCACTCAGAAATTCTCCAGAGATGCTATGAGACATAAAACTTCAGGTTCACTTTATCAGTTTCCCACCTGAGTTTTTTATTTCCTCTCAGGTCTTTCAGAGACGGGCAGATGGCTCCGTTGATTTTTTCCGTGACTGGGATTCGTACAAGAGGGGTTTTGGAAGCTCGCTGACAGAATTCTGGCTGGGGAACGACAATATTCACCTATTAACATCTCTTGGTATAGACATTTTGGATACATTTTTTCCTCTACAATTCTGTAACCAAGAAAGAAAGTTTAGCACAAGGTGGAGCACACCAGTAGCACTGAAACTGCTGCCTGAATCCAAACTGGTTATTCCCTATAGAACAGTCCTGCCAGGAAAAGTTATCAAAACTAGCAACACTCTCTAGCTGTGCTGGCTACAAGTAAGCTTGGTTACATTTAGAAATGGTAGAGGTGACTGAATAGTGAATATCCAGCATCTGATCGTATGTTAAATCTAATCCCGCTCCCTCCTTGGGTAACTCGGACCTGCGCAGTGTTATGTCATGTCATTTACAGAAATGGATGCAGTCCCATTGAAGTCAGTTGCAAAAATGTTATTGACTTCAATGGGGCCAGGATTTTACCCAACTTCTCCAGAAGGTGAGACATCCAACCTAACAAATCCAAATCCTGGCCAATTAACTGTTTCAGCCCTGTTGCATAATTTCCTAAGGTAGCGACCCGGCTCTTGCCAGAGACTGTGATCCTGTGAATGAGCGGTGCAAGAAGCTCTTAGGCTGTTGTTGCCCAGAAGGTTAGCAAGTAGCAAAATAACCAGTCCATCTGTATGACTGCAGACACAGCTATCTACCCAGCATCTGCAGAATAAGTCAGCTTCAAATCTAGCTAAATTCTCTGTCTGTCTTTCTCCATGTTCCTAATGGTTCCTTCTTGTCTCCCATTTGACTCTGAGATCCAGAATTGCGAACTAATTCCAGTGACAGGGATTCTCAGCTAACCAGTGGGGGCAAGACAGGTGCTGAGGTTGCCTTTTGCTGGATCATTAGTGAACTGACTCTGGGCAGCCCACGGAGTGGTGAATGCTCCCGATTCTGATCTATTAGCTGGAACAGAAGTATCAGCTGTAGATGCACTTTGCTAATGAGGAAGTGAGATTGGGGGGTGTATCTGGGTTAGCAATGGTTCATAAGTTGATGGCTTGGCCTGTGTAGATGAGGCTCACCCCAAAATAAACCCAAAATTATACAAGATGCTAATGGGATGTATTGAATATTTGCTAATCTTCATGTCTTTAACAGGAACTAACGAACTGCGCATTGACCTCCGAGATTTTGAAAATAACCATGTGTTTGCCAAGTACAAGTCATTCAAAATTTTAGGAGAGACTGAGAAATACAAGCTGATTCTAGGAGACTTTATTAACAGCACTGCAGGTAGGTGGTTGCCCCATTCTGCAGTGATCATACCACAGGGAGCACATGCAAATAGAGCTAAAATGTACACAATCTTGTGGCTAAATGTGAAATCCCACCATCGGCAAAATCTGAGTTTGTTTAGCCTCTTAGAAAATCACAGGCTCATGTTTAATTACAGCATCTGAAAACTCCACCCCCGACATAATCTGGGAAGATGCTGCCTCAAGCATCATTTAGTTAAAGAATAGGATTCCTGTGATTCTTTCATGCATATGAAGTCAGATTTGGGATTGTTAAGATTACTCCTATGATGTTTTAGTGTCATAGGACTAGTGTAAAAAGTTTCCTCCAACAAGTCTGCAGTGAAAATAGTTTGAAATGATTCCGCAAGTGGAAGGGAAATAGGTATGGAAACCATAAAAGGGGCTTCTTCATTAAGAAAAGAGGTTGTATTCATTCTAGTGTTAAAATAGAGGCAGTCTAAGCCATTCTGCCAGCATAGGGGTTGAATAAACTTCTGGCCTGATTTAGAGAAGCTCTCTTTCCACTCTCCTATATGCTGAGAGTAATCATACACTACTCTTGCCACCTCACACCAACAGCTGGATAGCAGGTCATAGGTACCTCGCAGGACTCAATGCTACCTCATTAGTGAGGTCGGGTTGTTGCTGGCAGCCAGCATTGGTAGAAGCCCTCTGTAAAGAAGGGGATGAGAAATGAAATGAGGTGTTTGGCCACACACACAGATACACAAAAACATTCTGCATACCAAGGCATTTGGACTTGAACTTTAGGAGATGATTCTGGTGAGGAACACCGATATTTTCCTGTGTATGTGCAAGTCGTGTAAGTGAAGGGAAGTCACAGCGGTAACCTGAGCCACTGAAAAGTCTTTCAGGGTTAGTTTTCAGGGTTTAGAGATGTGTAAGCATGTCCCCCATGTAAACAAGGCCAGGTACATTAATGGAAATAATACCTGAAGACATGTATAAAAGCTGTAAACAAACATGTTATGATAGTGACAAATTGACATGGCTTCTGTAAAGGAAAGCTGTGTCTTCCCTATCAGAAGTGTCGTTTACTGCTTCTCATAACACAAGAACTAGGGGTCACCAAATGAAATTAATAGGCAGCAGGTTTAAAACAAATAAAAGGAAGTATTTCTTCACACGACGCACAGTCCACCTGTGGAACTCCTTGCCAGAGGATGTTATGAAGGCCAAGACCATAACAGGGTTCAAAAAAGCACTAGATGAATTCATGGAGGATAGGTCCATCAATGGCTATTAGCCAGGATGGGTAGGAATGGTGTCCCTAGCCTCTGTTTGCCAGAAGCTGGGAATGAGCAACAGGGGATGGATCACTTGATGATTACCTGTTCTGTTCATTCCCTTTGGGGCACCTGGCACTGGCCACTGTGGGAAGACAGGATACTGGCCTAGATGGACCTTTGGTCTGACCCAGTAGGGCCATTCTTATGTTCTTAGAATTCTTTGAGCATGTCAACTAAACAGTGGATAAAAATATATATTTAGACTTTGATAAAGTCTGTGAAATATTGAGACCTCTCAAAAAAAGGCTATTAAGGAAACTAAATAGTGATAGAGTGAGATGCAATGTATTAGTATGGAACAGAAGTTGGCTAAAATAAGGAATAACTGGTCAATTTTGAACATGGTTAACTGTTAACACCCTGAGGCTGCAAGGATCTGGTGGTGTTTAATGTGTTTATTAATGACAGGGCAATCTGAGTAATAAGATGGCAACAGCTGCATCTGATAATCTTAAAAAATGTTGTGTGAGGAACTTCAGAGGATCTAGTCCAGGTTGGTTGATTTAGATGAAACTCTCTGCTGACCCATGCAAAGTAACACACATCAGAAGGAATGATTTTCGCTTCTCGTACACATTGCTGGGTTCTAAATCAGCTGCAGCCACTCAGGAAAAAGATCTGGGCATCACTGTGGACATCTCAGTGAAACTCATTATGCAGCAAAGCTTAAAAAGCAGCCAAGTGTTGGGATGCCTAAGGAATGAGAGCAAATACTGAAGGAATTATTTATAATGCAATGTTGTTGTATGCCCTGACGTGGAATAGTGTGTCCAGTTCTGATCCAGATGACTCAGCAGTACAACCTAAACTGAGAAGGTTCAGAAGTGAGCAGCAAAAAGGATTAAAACTGGGATTTTTCGAAGGAGCCTAAGGGCTTGTGCACAGGCAGAAGCTATTGCAAAATAAATTAGGGTGTGAATTTAAGTGCAATAGCTATACCATGCTAACTCCCCATGTGGACACTCTTCTCACTCACTAAAAGCGCCGTTGTGTATTCAGTTTAATCCACTGAATTAAGCTAAACCACAGAAAGGCACTTTTCATGCGAAATAAGTGTTCGCACCGTGAGCTATTCTACAATAGCTATTCTGGTCTTCTGCCTCATGTAGACAAGCCCTGGGAATGTGAGGGTGCCCAAATCCCATTGAAATGTAATGGAAGTTGTGTGTCTGGCTCCCTCTTAACGCTCAGCCTAGAAGCCTGGAGACGCTGCCACTGAAAGAGAGAATGAAAAGATTGGAACTGTGTAGTCTGAAGAGGAGGCAAATGAGGGTGAATCTGCTCCTCCCAGTTACCCTTCTCTTAATACAAACATAGGGCAACCTCCAATTAAAGTGAACAGCAGTAAATTTAAAACATATAAAGGAAATATTTTCATATGCAAGATTTAATTAATCCACTGAATTTATTGCTACAGTATATCAAGACCAGCTATTCAGTAGGATTCAGGAAAGGATGGGACATTTATATGGATAATTCGAATGCTCCCAGCTTTCTTATGCAAGACATTATAAGGCATGTAAAACCTCACCGTTCTGGGCAGAAATCAGTCTCCTCACCAACATGGTTAGGAACAAACATCCCCTGTGAGCAAGTTACTGGACATAGTTGGAGACAGGAAAGAATATTTGGTGGTGCCCTGTTCTAAACTGATCCAATTCCCTGTAGATGTAGGGCTGAATGTGGGCCTCTGAGCTCTGCTTTAAAAACAGCCCCACCCTTCTCTCTCCTCAGAAAAATGTCGTTACTGCAGCACCTGGAATGTATTGCAAGGACTTTGTTTTACCCCATGACATGGGAAATGAACTATCCGACTCTAGAACCAGTAACTAAGAAACAACTGGGGTAAAAAGATCTTTTTTGGTTTTATCACAGGTGATTCATTAGCAGCTCACAGGAACAATTTCTTTACAACAAAAGACCGTGATAATGATCTATCTTCCTCCAATTGTGCTACACATTTCAAGGGAGGCTGGTGGTACCGTAAGTGCCATGACTCAAACCTCAATGGGATGTATTGGCTGGGAGCCCATAATAGCTCCGGAGATGGTATAAACTGGCACGCCAGCAGAGGCGTCAAATATTCCTTCAAACTCTCAGAAATGAAATTTCGGCCTGTTCAGCAATGATGAGATGGCAGCACATGTTCCTCCTGCTTTCCCAGGCATCCGTTTGCAGTGAGCACAGGTGGAAAAACTGCAGAGAGGAACCAGCCAAAACCACCGGCCACTAGGAGCAGCTGCAGGAGCTGCCAAAGCAGGGACCTTCAGCCATTCACAGAACTTCCTCCTGTTTCTCTGCCCTCTGCTGATTTGTCTTTTGGCCACAACCCTTTCCTCAGTCTCTTAACCTCACCATCACACTTATTCCTCTTACCCTTTTCCCTAACCCTGCCCCCTCAGCCTCCTTTCCTGCAATGTCCCCTCTCCCTTCCCCTTTCTTTCCATGTAGCCGATCCCCTCCTAACTAAATACCCCCTCTCCAACCAACAGCAATAAAATCATGGCCCTAAAATGACATTTGCTGCCACTGCATTGTTCACTCTGCTTGTGTGTTCTAGTAGGGTTACCATATTTCAGCGAGCAAAAAAAGAGGACGGGAGGAGCCCCGCCCTAGCCCCGCCCCTGCCCCTCCCACTTCCCGCCCCCCCCTGACCTCCCAACCCTCCCCCGTTCC